CAATTTAATTGTTATAAGTGCTCACCAATCCAAATTTCTCTGAGCAATCCAACAATAAAAGAAGCCTTGTGCATCTTATATGCAGTAATAGGAAACACACTAGCACACAGAAAGCTCTGATTCTGTGTGGATATTTTGAAAATGTAATATTTTGAATATTTGTGAATAATATTTCAGGCCTCTGTATTTTGACACTGTACGATCAAACTGTCTCTGAAAAAAAGTTTGGACACCCCTGCCTTAGAAACAAGAAACTGAATTTCCTCCTTTTGTAACGCGTAATCCAACACGTGTTTGATGTCTGATATTTGCTGCTTTAGTTTTGCACTGGGGCTACAAGGCTTATTGTGGCTAACCTGTTACTACTGTGCAACCTACATGCCTAAATGTTTACACACTTACCTCACATCTAAAAATAATCTCAATTACACCGGCTTGTGTGACTCCTGACACTGTATGATATTCTGTTATCTATGAAAATGGTCAAAAGTATTTGTTTTATAGCTTATAATAGTAGTACCTGCCATCTCAAAACCTGAATTGCGTCCATAATTCAGTCTACTTCTGTAGATAACGGAGTACAGGGACAAAATTCTACACTGAGCTATTGAATTTCAGCTCTTTCATACTAAAGAAAAAAAAAGTTATTTTTTTAAAGGCAGAAATCTTTGATATGAAAACGACAAAGATTAAATGGATCTATTAAAAAAAACGTTTAATCAGAAATGGGGACTTGCATGAAAACCAAACGCCCTAAACTGACTCGTGCCTCAAACAACAAGACTGTTATTAAAAAAAAAACCTTCAGTCTAAAGCACTGAACAAAGTGCCTCATGCAGTAAATGCTGTCTTAAAAGGAAAGAGGCAAAACAACTTGAAACGCCTGGCTAGCATGTTGCTTGGAAAGCAAGTATGCTAACTAGGGCAGTAGCTAATTTGGCTGAAGTTGTGAGTTAATCTAGTTAAAGTTTTACTAAGTTACAGATGACATTCCTTCTAAAATTAATAATAAAAATGCACTTGCCTCATTTTCAGTTTCAGTTTTCAGTCCTCTGGAATTTCTGTTTTGGTTTCAGAGAAGAACTACGGACTTCATTTCAGCGCGTTACTAAATAACACTACTATAAATGGGCAAAAAGAAGACCGCAAAGCTAAGACTGCAGAGCTAATGACGGTCTACTTAAAGCTTGAATTTTGCTCATTTTTCAGACACCGTATGTTGGCTGAATTTGGAGTAACAAGTAAAGTGTGTAAACTAGATTTGTTTTCCAAGCTATTCCTTCAACTGCTTTAGCCCATTAAGTCATCAATTCATCCTGCTGCGGTAGTGAATTTGGTCAATAAGACCAAGTGGTCCACTTCAAATGAGGAAAGTGGGCTAGAAGACAGAAGAGCTGCTGAACTCCCTGCTTCCTGAGCAGCGTTTCGGGGGAGCGAGCGTTATGTTTTCTTTAATACGGTAATTGGGGGGCACAAAGCGGTGCAGGCGAATGAGGCGGTGTGTTCGTGTTCAAAGCTTTGTTGTGAACTGTGGCGTGGTCCCTCGGGTGGGGGAGCTGGCACCCGAGCAGCCCCCGCTCTGGCCGAGTGGGCCAGCCTGCCAACTGGGCCATCTGGCAGAGTGTGCCCCGTGGGCGTGAACCGGCAAAGTCCCACGGCTGGGGAAGGGGCATTTGTAGTCTTCCTGGCACTGCTGCCAAGATCTCTCGCTCCCTTTCCCTCTCTTTTTCTCTTTCATCTCCTTCCTTGCCCCCGCCATCTCTGTCATGGAAAAACATGATGATTTCTGTGGTAAAAGACGAGGGACTGCACTGAGGGATACGGTCCCAAAGGTGGAGATGATAGCTGCTGGGCTGAAAACATCAAATCAATGCTGTCCACTAACATCAGATTTTGTCACTCAGCCAAAGAAATGCAATTGCAGCAGAGCTGAGAACAGCACCGCACAGAACACTGCAGAACCAATTTCACTCTTGAGAGAAGAGAAATACCAGAACGCACAAGGGGACACTGTAAAATCACGACAAATGCCCCCCAGCTACGGTGACCCCGTGTCTCTTCTTTGGTGCTTCTGGTGTCTGCGGCTGCTGTGAAGCTCAAGCTCAGCTCAGCTCTTTACAGTGGAAAAATCTGCATTACTGTAAGAGTCCAACATCTCCGGCGCCAATTTGCGTGCTCCCTTCGGGATGTTTATGAGGACAGCCAGAGGACAGAGCACTCAACAGAGAGCGTCCCCAGAAACAAGGACACCTCGTCGTCCCGAATCGACTCACTTCTTACAGTGCTGTACAAGTGCCTAAGTACCCAGGACAAGAACAAAGTGTGTAAAAGGCATATTATTGCTCAACAATTGGCCTACATTTCATCACTCACCTGTTCTTTAATAGTTAATTCTTTAATATTGTTCAGGGCTGTCAGGCTCAATCGATTAACCTTGATTATTCAATTATAAACTCAATTACTCAGCAGCAAATTTGCTAAAATTTACCTTCTCGAAGAATCTGCAATGATTAGCACGAAGGTAATGAATATCTCCACCATGTTATTTTTATTTAATGAATTATTCATGATTAATTTGGACTTTTTTAAATAAAGCTATTAACGGTTTTCTTGTTTGTCATTTTCCAGTTGAATACTGTGCACGTTTTTATATAAAACCCACTGTATGCAGACACATATAAAATAACTCCAAAATGACACTCATATTCTACAGGCTTAAAAAACTGACAGCTGAACAAATGAAGAAATATTTGTAGATATATCCAATATGACTGAACCTCACTCATCAAGTAGCTTTTCACAGTTATTTTACATAAAGAAATTGTTATAAATAGGTAATTACAGTGCTTACAAAGCACTGTACTGTTATCCTATTATCCGATTCTTTTTTCTTATTACTGCTCAAACTGCTTAATGCACAATGTATAATTTTAGATTAAAATATTTTCCTATAGTTTTATGTTGTGGAATCACAGTTTGAATTCTGGCTGCCACAGCTGATGATGACGTAATGTGTTTGAAGCTGATTGGCTGAGCTGGTTTAAAGTGCTTCTACTCTACACTGCACACTGCTCTGCTTTCAACCTCTTCAGGTCTTCATAAGCTCCTTTCTTCCTTTTTTTCTTTTCTCCCTGCCTTTCTTTCTTTCTTTTCTTTGATGTATTGTACAGCACTTATGTATTGTATTGTATTGTATTGTATTGCACTGTTCTGTGTTTAACTCTGTCCCTTTTCAGTAGGTGTCAATGACCACCTGATTCTAGCAGTATCTAAGTTTAGGACTGTCTTTCTCTCTAACCTATTGGTAGCTAGCAAAGATTCTTTCTCTGGTTAGACAAAGCACTTTTTGTAAGTCGCTCTGGATAAGAGCGTCTGCTAAATGATGTAAATGTAAATGTAAATGATGTCTTTCTTTTTTTTCTTTGTCTTTTTCTATATTTCTTTTTTTGTCTTTCTTGTTTCTGTCTTACTTTTCCTTTCTTTCTTTCTTTCTTTCTTTCTTTTCCTGCAATTAATGCAGCTCAAACCGCTCACACCTTACATAATTCACATAATTTCAGTGAGAGGTGTGCTATCTTTTTTTCTTTTCATAACGTTTATCATTTTTAAAAAATATTTTTGTTAAAAATTGTTACTTTTCCCACAGACTTCTATGGTGGAATCGTGAGACTGTTTGAATCAAGTTTTATTTATTATTTTCTTGCCTTGCAAGCACTGGAGCTCCTTCAGACAATGTACATCTTATTACAGTTCATTATTTTTTAACTATTAACATTTACTATATATATATTTTTACCACATCATAACTTCTCTTTCTCAAAATACTTTAAATTCTGAATAAACCATTAGTTTACGTTTCAGTGTCTAGTTTATAACGTTTCAAACTACACTGTGTAACCTATTATCATATAATGATATGTATTATATACAGCTGTTTCATCTTGTTCCTGTATTTGTTATTTATAGCTCTTTATAAAAAATAGCCAACTCGTTAAACCCCTAAAATAACTGGTAGATTAACTGATCACAAATATAATCCATACTAACAGCCCTAATGTAATCGTGACTTGTGACAGCATAGCATCTTGTTTAGGCTAGTGGTGGTGATTAATCTTTCAAGTCTTTCAAGGAGGCTGATCAGTTTGGAAATCAGGTTACTACTGCTCAGTCTGGACTTTTATTATGTAGCAGACATTGCTGTGTGATGTCAACGCAGTCTCATCTGTAGTCATGCTGCTTCATATGTATGGTGTGTTTGAAAATACAGGATTACCATGATGGCAGGTTTTACAAAAACTGATTTAGTAAAGTTTTAAAATAATCTCTTTCCCCCTACAACCCTCCCACCCCAAAGTCTTTGAATATACACCAATCAGGCATAACATTATGACCACCTCCTTGTTTCTACGCTCATTGTCCATTTTATCAGCTCCACTTACTATATAGGTGCACTTTGTAGTTCTACAATTACAGACTGTAGTCCATCTGTTTCTCTGCACACTTTGTTAGCCCTCTTTTATCCTGTTCTTCAGTGGTCAGGACCCCCATGGACCCTCACAGAGCAGGTACTATTTGGGTTCTCAGCACTGCAGTAACACTGACGTGGTGGTGGTGTGTTAGTGTGTGTTGAGCTGGTCTGAGTGGATCAGACACAGCAGTGCTGCTGGAGTTTTTAAACTCCTCAGTGTCACTGCTGGACTCAGAATAGTCCACCAACCAAAAATATCCAGCCAACAGCGTCCTGTGGGCAGCGTCCTGTGACCATGACATCCCGCTCTAATTGTGCCCCCCTCCAGAATTTTGGCTTGCATGACGCCCCAGTTCGTGGCTACACAGGAATGGAATTCTTTGAGTATCCTTGGCCTACAGGAGCCTCAATGGACGCTGGGTCGTTTTTCAGGAGCCCGTAGAGCAGATTTATGACTACAGCATGTAAGAAGCATTTCCCACAGTAAATCTCACAGGTGACAGTCATGCATAATTTCCAAAGGCAAACCTACCAGAAGTACAGCTGATGTCCCGTTGGGCCGGAACAGCTCGATGGACATGTCTGGAAACATGCGGCCAATTCTGGATATCACATCGTCCACATACCTGTAGAAAGAAGGAACGAACTCATTAACCTGCTGAGGATTCAGTTCGTGAGCTACGTGTAAGCGGGGCATGATGACATGATTGCCACTGTTAGAAAGTCAATCACTTTTCATTAAGGCAACAATATTGAAAAAGCTGTGTTTCTTTATATTCAATAGTATTGACACCTTCATGTCAAACTGGTAATGTATTCCTGAGATACTCCCTGAACCACCACACCGATCTGTAGCCTGTGACTTCGCCTAATTCTCTTCTTTACATTTTAGCAACTTACAGTAGAAGCCATTGATTAATCCATCTGCAACCGTGAGCATGTTGTTTAACACAGGCCTGCACTCCTAAAAATCAAGCTTTCTAATGGGTTCTTTCTAAAGTTCTAGAAAAACTTTTAATTGGTACAGAATCTTTACATTATGTAGACGTTCTTTAATTTATAAAGGTTACATCTCATTTGCAAAAATGGTTCTGTAAAGAACCGTCCACTAAGAGTAGAGATGCATATCGGCACTGGCAGACAATTCCTTTAAAAAATTATCGGCTTTGGACAGATGTTCAGATTTCGATTTCAAAGCGATATTTGATGATATTTGATGTATTTATTATTCTAGAAGAGCAGAAATTTAGGCGACGCTGGGCTGCTGTCCAAAACACATTTTATTTACTACATTATACGTAGAAACAAATCTTAGGAATAGATGCTCTCTGTAATCCATGTAGATGTAGTCCAAATTTTTACATTTACAAATATATATGTATCGGCATCAGCAGATCCATACTGTGAAAAAGTCCGAGACCATCCTTTATTTATTTAATTTCCAGTCAAAACTGCCATTAAGTTATTCAAAATCATAGTTTATAAATGCTTAAACATATTTTAAGATAAAACAATGCATTCATATCACCTGAACACAGAACAGCATAAAACATTTTAACACGCATCCTGCTGGCCAAATCCTGTTTGCTGTAGAAAAAAGAAAATATATAATTATGTTTTCTTTGCTTTTTTAGTGAAATACAAACTTCTACTTCCTAAAATTACAGGAAAGTTCCGGGTGAGTGATTAGAAACTATTTTAACTTTTCGTTTTTAGCCGTTTAGCTTCATTTACTCCCATTCATTGAGGATTCGCTCGTGGGCGCCCTCTGCTGTTTTGCAGTCCCGTTTTTGATATAATGGGGGAAACAGGAAGGGGCCAGGCCCCTCATAAACCGGCTCTGAGTTTATAACGTTCAACATGGCGGGAGCAGAAACTGGTCTGCAGATGAGACGAAGTTTATGATTTGAGCTTTAAAAGACGGCGGTGGGACGGACGTCCAGCTTATGTGTCTCAGAACACGACGTCTTCCTCTCGGCCTACTTTAATAAGGACATTTTAAGTACGTTTTTCAGAGTTTAACATAATTTTAAAGCAATTAAAAACACAAGCACTGCTCACTGCTGCTTGTCTCACTCTGGACTCATCGCTGTCATGGTAACGTCTACCCTGAGTGTTACCCTACACACGCGTGTAATTTTGGATCGGATTACTTGTAGTGTGCATGTAAACGAAAAAATATAAGAAAATAAACAAAAAAAGAACATTTATAAATCAAAAAAAGAAGCTGCTGATGTTTTCAGAACCATGAACATCACTGAATGTGTTTGGAAACTTTGGAAGTGTGGAAAAATATCCCTGCAGATTTCTCTGAAAAACTGAAAGCAAGTCTCCTGAACAGGACGGAAGCTGTAATAAAGGCAAAGCATGGACACACTAAATACTGAAAGACTGATATTATATAGAGAATTGTTGAGGCTTCTGTGTAATTTTCTGTTAAATACGAATAATATACTCAATGGCTGCATCGAAATTAAGTTAAGGAAAGGTTGAAAAAGTGGACTTTTGCTTAGTACTGTATGTACACAAAAAAACGGATGTCTGTATAGGCCCACAATTCCCATATCGGAGCATCCCCAAATAAAAGACTCTTTAAGGAAACAAAAGTTGATTCTTCTTTTGGCACTTGCATTTTTTAAAGCGTTAGACGAAGCTGTCGTGTTTCTGAGCACTAAAAAGGCTCTGATGAACATGTGTAATTTGTCAAGACTGTCAGGCAGCTCATGTAGACATCAGCAGAAGCCTCAATACAGAACTCCTGAGAGAAACAACACAGAGACAGAGCCCAGCACAAAATGATAACGTACTAAAAATAAATGTTGGATATTGTTGAGCTCTGTACTGTAAAAGCAGAAAATCTTCTCTGGACGTCCGCCATCACCTTCACTGTCCAGAGGTGAATGAGCATTTAAAACCCCTGCCAGAGTTGTTGAACTCGCTCGTTAGACATCAGAACGCTTGGAGTTGGAGAGCCAAAGCCTTGAGCCATCCCTTGAGTCAGCAGATCCGCCACCAAGAAGAGTCACCCTACATGTATTGGCGGGTCAATGCTAATAAGGGTTTAATGAAAATCTCCTTTGCCATCAGCTATCAATAGACTTGAGGGACTGCTCCCGCACACAAAAGGGAAAAAAATAATTCATTAAAGAAGTGCTGGAGAGAGGTGGCTCAGAACGGGAGGATTAGTTTAAGAAGTCATTTGAAAGTCATGAGGGCAAAATGTGCTCTTTCTCCGCGCTCGTTATAACCGACTGTCAATCCAGCTCACGTGAACGAACGGTGAGGAAGGTACAGTCCATGATGACTCGTTTGTGTCTTCTTATCTAGCCCCTGTTGGCAAGATCAAAAGAAAGCACAATATGTTCAACACCTTCTACCATTTGTTGACTATTTCCCTGGAGCAACTTTTCAGTTTACCGGCTTGAATTAAATTAAATATTCAAGTTATTCATCATGTCTTACGTGGCTTATCTATATATTCCCAGGACTTTACAACAGAATAATAGCTGAACAATAAGTACATGAATTCTTTGAGAATTGCCACAAGCCAAAAAGATAACAGACAAAAATTTTAACCCTCTATTGTAAAATGTTGCCTCAGGGCAACAAACTCATTTTGCTTACTTTACAATGATATGATACAAATTGGATGATGATAAAATGGTTAGTAATAAATGGGCCATATGGTAAAAAAAAAACTTAAGATGACTTTAGAAGAAATTTTCATATTTTTTTTTCTTTACAATGCACTATTAGTGTATTATGTCACAATACTAGACACAATGCACTTGTACTGCCACATTTAAAAAACAGCCATCAAAAACTGCTGTTTATCATGAAATGATAAAACATTATCTTACAGCCCATCCCTACATTGAAGACTTTGAATAAACAACAAAAAAGCCTGGTCACACTACGTCCTGGTGGGCAATTTTAAACCTGTTTTAGGCATGTTGCAGAATGCGGATGATAAACTTTACTGCACCAGACAACCTCCCGCAGAAAAGTATTTGTCATTTTTCATGCAATCTAAAAATATGATTCACATCTGTTAGAGTGTGATGTTATTTTTTTTTTATTATCCAGTATCACATGAATATTTTTACTTTTCTTCTAGTTTCCTATATAATGCTTTGTATCACTTCATGTTGTTGCACAATGTTGCCTCAATGTACCCAACTGCAACGTATTCAGGCTCAGTTCATGCAAGGAAAGTGAACCAAACATTTTTTCAACATTGCTCTCCTAATGTGTGCAACAAAGGGTTAACATTCATACTAATACTAATAAAAGGCCCATTATGCAAACATCAATCCAATCACCTTTTATTTAATTCATTTCACATGTTTTTGCAAGCATCTACGGGCATATTATGCATGTACCAGTTTTTTGTTGTTTAAAGAAAAGAAAAATCCCACAACATTTCTCTCTAGGCCTACATGTGCAGCCAGTTTTTCAAACAACGGCAGACTCTTAATATTCTGATGTGGTATTGGCAGTTTATTGGCAATAAAGCAGCTTAAAGGTAATCAAATAGGGTGTGCAATTACGTCTCAATTGGCAACACAGAGGGGAGCCGTTCAGTTGCAAGATAAGACTTGCTTTAATATCCCAATCTTCGGGATAACTTGGTCCTTGGAGTGAAACCTGCCCAATCTCCATGTGAAATAACTCATCACCACCGCATTCAGCACCAAGATGTTCAGGAGCTTTGATTGTTTCTTTGAGTAATGTTTGCATGCGATAATAGAGTTCACAGATTGCTGAAAACAAATTAAAAATGGCAAACTTAAAAATGCATTTTTCGCATGCAAAAAATGCAAATTTATTAGGGCTATTGAAGTTAATGTGCTGGTGAATGTGTTAACACATTAAAAAAACACTTATGAGATAAACCATGAGTGCCAATACTTTTTTTTGGTAACACTTTACTGTAAGGCAGCGTTCAGCAGAACTGCTAGATCTGCCCCAGTCAAGAAGGGTCGTTGAGTACTAAAGTGTGTAAAAATCACTTATCCTTTGTAGCATCATTCACAATAAAGCTCCAAACTGCCTCTGGAAGCAACATCAGCACAAGAACTGTGTGTTGAGAGCTTCATGAAACAGGTTTTCTGGGCTGAGCAGCTGCACACAAGCCTTAGCGCAATGCCAAGTGTTGGTTGGAGTGGTGGGATGAGTTTGGTGTGGAGGAACTCCAGTGGCCCGCACAGAGCCCTGATCTCAACCCTACTGGGCACCTTTGGGATGAAATGGGAACGATGATCCTGAGCCAGCGAGAACATCAGCGCCTGACCTCACAAATGTTCATCTGACTGAATGGGCACAAATTTCCACTGACGCACACTAACATCTTGTGGAAAGTCTTCATTAAGGACTGGAGGCTGTTATAGATGCAAAGCTGAGTGGCGCAACTCCATATTAAAGTCCATGTTTTTGGAATGGAATGTCCCACAAGCTCATATGGGTGTTACGGTCAGGTGTTCACATACTTTTGACCATATATTATAGCTTAAAACTTGAAACGGTAAAATGAAATTAAATTTAACTACGGGCCACAGAAAATTCCCACATTTATTCAACCACCCTGACTTGTCAAGTTTTGTCATATTATGTGTGTTATTTAAGT